AAAATCTTTTATTCAAAATGTTTGTGAATGTGCTGATGCTGTGCCAGGCCTTGGTCAGAGTGTGCTGGCTCCCCTGTGCTTTCCCTGTGGTGACCCCCAGCACAGGGTTCTCCTCCCTGTCCCCTGGGGCTTGGCAGCTGCTCCTTCTCTTCTGACAAAAGATGCAACTTGATGTTTCAGCAAAAAAACCCACAAAAAAAAACAGTGTTTGGAGTTTTAATTGGTTTTTTAATTGGATTGTTTTTCACTTCCCCTCTGTTTGTATTTTGAAATAAAGCCCAGCCTCTGTGTGTTTTGTTTAAGCATTTGGAAGAATAATTAAATTATTTGAACAATTCTGGTACTGAATTGGAAATTTAAACAAACAACAACACACCTGCATTGTGGCAGGGTGTGTGGGGATGGTGATGATGAGGTTTTGTTTCTTTTTAATGATCTACACAAGTAAATTAAGTGTTTGGTGTGATTAATTATATTGGGAGAAAATTGAAAATAATTAAGCAAAAGAAGAGATTTTTGGCTCCTGCCTCATTTTGAGGCAAAACAACCTCATTCCTCTTATATCTCAGCTCTGGAGTTGCTTTGGTATCGACCCTCAGCTTGGTCCAAGCAGTTGGTCCAGCAGCACCCAGTGAGTGTGACAAGCACAGGGGCAGAGAGAAAGCTGCTTGGTGTTCAAAAAGCCTTTGAACACCAAAAAAAGTAGGTTTGAAAGTAGGTTTTGTTTGCTGCTGGTGGTTTTTTTAATTAGTTCAATTTACCTACAAACCATGGAGTGTGAAACCCTGTGTTTTTCAGTCAGGGAGAGAAGCAATTTGAGGTGAGGGTCAGGAGACTGATGAGCCTCTGAGCTCTGAAAAAAAAAATGGGTTTGTTAAAAAACGACATTTGCAGCACAGGTATTTAATAAATCCCTCAGGTCAGGATGGTGCTGTCCTGCTGCAGTGAGAGGAAGGGGACATTGCATCTGCATGTTCTGTCAGGAGCAAAAAGTGACCTGAGCGGCTCCCATGGCTCAGCAGAGCACACAGCCTTGTCCCTACCTTGGAAATAGTAACCAGGAGGGGGAAGGTGAATGGAAGGAATTGCAGCAAGAGTTTAACCTGCAGTTAACCAATTACCAGTTAACTGCTTGATTTGATAAGGAAACCAATTGCTTGTTAACCTCAGAGGAGCATTGGAGAGATACTGCTTGGGGGGAAAGAGGGAAGGAAGAGGTAAGTGCAAGGCATGTGCTCAGAGTGGGAAACTGGATGTAACAGGGAAGAGGAACAGAAGGTAATAAATGGAAATTCCACCTGGAGAGGTAGAAATTCCTTGAAGCTCATAGCTCAGGTACTATGAGGTACTACACAGGCCTTCTGTGATAAAATTGAGCTTGTGAGTAGAAGAGACCTGGTGATTTTGGTAGACTGAACGACCAAGTAACAGCCATGGAAAAACTGAGTGATCCACAGATGTTGATGTGTGTGACTGAAGGTAAGACAAGGCATCCTGCTACCCCTGCTCTGGAGAACACCTCAGATCCAGGGTCTGCAGCCTCGTTCTGTGGGGTGGGGCTGAGGGAGCTGGTGCTCATGTCAGAGCAGTGAGGGCTCCCAGGGTAAAGCAAATGTTAATGGCAGCTTCATGGGTGTTTTCAAGGTTTATTAAATTAAAATTATTTCAGCTGTACTTGATAAATTCTTCCCTGTGAGGGTGGTGAGAGCCTGGCCCAGGTTGCCCAGGGAAGCTGTGGCTGCCCCATCCCTGGGGGTGTTGAAGGGCAGGTTGGATGGGGCTTGGAGCAGCCTGGGCTGGTGGGAGGTGTCCCTGCCCGTGCAGAGGTTGGGACTGAATGATCTTTAAGGTCCCTTCCAACCCAAACCAGTCTGGGATCCTATGATTGTGTCATCTTCTGATTTGGACGCTTGATCGTTTCCTTTCTTACTCTTCTTTGATACAATTGTAAAAATGTTTCCTTAGTTATAAAAAGGAAGGGAAGATGCCCCACTCCCCTTTCCCAAAGAGCAACTGCAAACCTCCCCACAACCCATGAGGGGGTGGAAATGGCAGCTCCATCATGTGGACAACCACGTTTGAGCAGCTGCTGTCACCACCACTGCTGTCACCCAATGGCTTGGTGGCCAGCACAGGGACACACACAGCAGCTCGTGGGCTCCACACCTGCTTCCAGTCCCACTGTCTCCCCTCCCTCTCTCCCAGCCAGTGTTGCAGAGCTGTGCCCACCCGGTGTCCAGCCCAACACAGTGTCCCCAGTGCCAGGGAGCGTGTCACCTCACCCAGCTGGTGGGAGCAGCAGAGGCAGCGCCGGGAGCCTGGGGCTGGCAGGGTGTGTGAGCCCGGGCACATGGTGGTGCTGGGGGAGAAGCAAGATCCAGCAGCAGCTGCTGGTGGTGCTGGGGGCTGCTAGTCCCTGTGCCAACAGCCTGGCTCCAGTTTCTGGGAAATGCATCATTTGTAGAACAAAATCCTGCCTTCGGCTGCCAGTCTCTCGATGAGGCTGAACTCAACCTCAGCATCGTGGACCCTCGTCCTGCGAAAGGCTCCGGGCCAGCGGTTTTTCTCCCAGTAGTGGTGCCAGTTCCCTTCGCTGTCCGCGCCAAAGCCAAACACGGAGACCTGCAGAGACACCAGCAAGAGCCATTGCAGAGCAGCCCTGCAGCCTGGGGGGTGGTGGGAGAGGTGAGGTGGTGGGAGAGGTGAGGTGGTGGGAGAGGTGGGATGGCAGCAGGGGTAGGATGGCAGCAGGGGTGGGGTGGCAGCAGCACCAGCCCCACGGGCTGTGCTCACCCGCTGGCAGGTGTGCAGGGCGAAGAGCAGGGCGGTGAAGCCGGTGGACGGGTACCGGCCGTGCCGCTGCGTCCAGCTGTCGTGGATGTACTTGAGGAAAGCCGGGCTCAGGATCAGCACCTGCACGGGGAGCGGGGGGGCCATCAGCTGCCAGGAGGACACCTGGCCCTGCCACCGGCTGGGACAGCTCTGCCCGCGTCCCCCCGCGGCACAGGCCGGGCTCTCACCTTGTCTCTGTCAGCTCGGACGAACCGTTTCACCCTCATGTACGTGCTGCGGAAGCCCGAGGACACCAGTGAGCAGGGCACTCCTGCTGCTGGGCCTGTTTGGTGGGGGTGGCCCCATGGCACCCCCAGCCCAGCCGTGTCCCCTGGCCTGGCGCTGGGAAGGGACACATCAAGCACCTGGCCCCACACTGGGAGAGCCTGGGGGTTACGGGACTGCAGGATGACCCAGCCTGGTGGGGATGGGTCAGTGCCCACCTCCCCAAACTACAATGCAGAGGGATGACAGGACCAACCCCCAGGGGCCCTTCATCTCACCAGGATTGTGGTGCTGGGGCCCAATGAGGCACCAGGGTTCCCAGGACCAGGGTCTCTAGCACCAGAGGCACCATCCCCCAAAGCCAACGCACCGCGTGAGCTCCCCGGTGGAGAAGGCACTGGCCACCCACTGCAGGCCCAGCGGCTTGAAGGGGACAAGGACCAGGTGGGTGCCAGGCGCGAGGTTCACTGCGCTCTCTGGGTACATGAAGTGATGGGTTGTTCTCCTGCCAACATCCAGCTCAAAGCCAGTGACCTTCGCTCTGTTCATCCTAGGGGACAGCGGGAAATGTCCTGCAATGAAGGTCAATGCTGTGCTGTCCCCACCGGGCAGGGACACCAGGTCAGCCTGGCCAGTAGGAAGGAGGGGACATGGGTGACACTGGGGCCCGTGTGTGTCCCAGGGCAGGGGGCTCCAGGGAGCAAGGCCAGCAGCCCCTGCCATGGCAGATTTCACAGGGTGGCTAGGACGTGCCAGGGGACACCAGGAGGGACCAAGCCCCTCAGCCACCCACCGCAGCACCCAGTCGTGGGCGTCGATCCGCGGCCCGTGGCCAGAGCCCTGCAGCTGCCCCGAGTTCCCCACCACAGCGCACGTCCTGCAGCCCGACGGGTCCCACGCGCTGCCGGTCGGGGCCGGGAACACACTGAAGAGCTGCTGAATTATAGGCTGGAGCTGGACACCCCTGGAGGGACCCTGCAGTCTCTAGGTGAGGGAGCAAGGTCAGGGACAGGCAGCATCAGCCCCCCCCATCAGTGCCCCCATAGGGATGGAGCCCCCCAATTCTCCCAGCAGAGCCCTGGGAAAGGCACATGAGAACTGGATGGGACACTGGGAAAAGGGTGTGGGACAGCACAGGGGAGGTGACCTGGGGTCCCAGCACCCTTTTCATGCCCCATCACAGCCGTCCGACCTTCACCTTGACCCTGCCCCACTGCGAACAGCTCCGGGAAGACCCCCGAGCTGCCCCAGGCCCCCACTCACCAGCCACCACTGAACCACCTCGGCGGGCAGCTCCGGGGCCCTGCCCAGCAGCAGAGGCTCCACGGCCGGGTCGTAGCGGGCACTGAACCAGGCAGAGCTGTTGGTGCCGGGGCAGCGGGCACGGAGGACCAGGCGGAAGGGACCCCCGGGGCCATCTGGGGGGGCTCGGAAGCTTTGCCACAGGAGCAGCAGCAGGCACAGCGCCAGCACCACCTGCGTGCGCCTCTGGCACAGCATCCCTCATGCCACCTGCAGAGAGACGGCCCAGGGACCAGTGGCAGCAGCACAGCAGGACCCCTTCCCACCCACCCTCCCTGCCCAGCCCCCTGGGACCCCTCCTGGCTGCTCACCAACCCCGCAGGGACCTGGGATTGCTGCCTTTTCAAACCTGGCAATGGCTGTAGGGCCGTGTTGTGCCCCGGCGCTGCCCTGGCTGTGCCCTGCCCACAGCTCCAGGAGGGGCTGGAGGGGGAAGAGCAGCAAAGCATCGTCACCTTGGCCATGAGCCCAGCACCAGCTGCCCCCCAGGGAGGTGCTGCCCACCCGTGAAGCAGCTTCTCTGCCAGCCCTGAGCCCTGCTGCTCTCCCCTCACACCCGGCACTGGACACAAGCCCCTCAGCCTGGCCATGAGCCCATGGAGGTGCCAGGAACAACCTCTCCAGGCCCTGGGGTCCTGCAGCTCCATGGGCACTGAGTCATTGCTGGGGGAAGGAGAAGGAGGTGCCAGCTGTCTGCAGGAACCTTTCTTAAACACCCATCTTGAAGTGATGTTTCTGGTCTCCAGCTAAAAGCACTCATGTAAACCTGGAGCCAGAGGGAAAAGAGTCGTCTTGTCCTCAAGGAGCTCATGGGATGCTCATGAAATGCCACGAGCTGGCTCTCATGGACCGAGGCAAGAGTGAAGAGCAGGAGGTGGGGACAGACTCCATCCCAGGGGCAGAAGCAACTGCAGAAGATTTGAGGGAGGGTCTCCTCCCCACTGGGAAAGCTGAAGGAGAGAAAAACCCCTCCGGTCCTCACAGGAGCACCCTGTGCTTCCTCCAGTCCCCCCAGTGCTGAGCTGGGGCCATGGATCAGCACCAGTTTTGTTTCTCCACATTCACCACTTTCTGCAGCTCCTGCAGCACCAGGGTACCTGGTGGTACTCCTGCCTGGCACCCACACCAGCTGCACCTGAATCTGCCCCACAGGACATGCCCCTGACAGCAAAGCTGTTGCTCCTGGGAGTTTGAGCAACAAACAGAGCCAAGAGATGTGGGGAAGCAGTCTGGACAGTCACTGGTGGCTGCAGCAGCTCTGCTCCCCTGCAGTGCTGCCCTCAAACAGCAACAGAACTGTCACCCCTTCCTGAAGGGAAGCAGGAACAAGAAACCACCAGCAGGCTGGAAACACTGACACGGGTGCTCCCGAGCAGGAAACAGCCACAAAATGCTGGCTCTTCACAGGCTTGGGGGGGACCCCAAAGGCCCTTGACACTCCCTGCAAGTGGCTGCAGATCCCTGTGACTTTATGTCTTGCCTTTTTGCAGCAGCCACGAGCATTTGCTGTGGTGGAGGCAAAGAGCATCCAGCTGATGTCCTGCTGGGGCTGGGAGCCATCAGCCTGCCAGGCTGGCTTGGGTGCTCATGGAGCCTGGGGAGTTTTTAAGCCACAGCCCACAAAGGGGTATATTGTGGCTGGTAGCTGCATGTCCAGCAACAGGAGCTTCATAGAGCCCAGAGCCCTGGGACTCAGGGCACAGGGAATGTTCCACAAAGCTTTTTGGAATCACCCGTGGCCAGGGAGGGCAGGGCTCCAGACAGGCAGGGTTGAGTGGCCCCATCTCCCTCCCTCTGCCCATGCACAGCCCCTGCTCCACTGACAGGACCCCCACCTGCACCCACACCCCCACAGCAGCTGAACAACCCCCCTGTCCCTGTGCCCAGAGGTGCCCTTGCTTGGGGTTCCCCAGCCAGCACCATCAGCCACAAGCCACCACCCTGCAGCAGCCACAGACCAGGTCCCATCCCAGCTCAGCTCCCAGGGACACCACCCATCCATCCCCACAGCCAGGAGACGGGGCCTGGGGGTGTGGTGACCCCCAGATCCCCTGCCAGCTGCCCCCAGGGCCCTCACCTGCTGCTGAGAGTGACGGTGCTGAGCTCCGGTGTCCTCACCAGCGGTTGCGACATCCGGAGGGGAAGAGGAAGCGTCACGTCCTGGGGGCAGAGCAGAGCCTGGCAGCTCCCAGAGCCTGGGGCTGACAACCCTCCTCCAGCAGTGCCCACCACCCTGGTGCCCCAGCACGGCCCTCCCACATAGCTCAGCACTGTGATGGCCACAGTCCCACTGGAGCCAAATGCCCTGGCCATGTTCCCAGGTCAAATCAGGAAACTGAGCATTAAAATGTTCCTCTGAGGGTGAGAGAAGCTGCCTGGGGTGGAACTGCCCTCCTGCCCCTACGGGTGCTGCTGGGATGGCTCAACTTCTGCTGACACGTGACGCTAGCAACACAGAGACCTGAACAGCCTTGTGCATCCAGCTCCTCACACTCCGGTTTCCTTTTCGCTCCTGGTTGGGATTCTGGCTCAGAAAGGAGAGCTCAGGCTGCCATGTCTACCAAGCACAGCTCTGGCTGCCGTTTCTGCCCCCTGCCTGGCTGGAGCAACCCACCTTCTCCCCTGCCACTGGG